TTTCGTAATTGGGGGGCGGTGACTAGTAATAGGGGGGCGGTAAATAGCAATTCAGTAAAAAAAAATAGAGGCTTAATTTTGTAGGTGACACCAAATTTAGAAATAGTGTGGTGGTTTTATTGATTTTACATAATATCCTATAAGTGAAAAAAATAAAAAAAATAAAAATAAAAAAATAACTTTTGGTCTTTCTACTGGCAAAACGTTCAATTTGACCGCCTGCTGAACTAGATAGGCTAGTCTGCTGCCATGTGTAAAAAAAATTGAAAAATAATATTCACGTCGATCATATGGATCGGCTTTTATCGATGAAAGGATAAAATTTCTTTATTTTCCAAAACAAAACCCCAAAAGGTGACTAAAATTGGAGGAGCACCACGAGTCCACGACATACACATGTCCACGGGCTGAACCGGCCCGTGAACCAGCATGCAAACCGGTACCGGCCCGACACGAATTGGCCCGAACCGAGAACTCTAAGGGCCGTTTCGTTGAACCGGACCCGTAGGGTCGCGGTTCGGTCCAGATTCCATTTTTTTGTATTTTGGTCCTGCAGGGACGGGCTGGGTCGGACGGCGGGCCACATTGTTAAAAAAAAATTTAAGGGCCATCCCGGCCCGTGAAGAACCGACCCTTAGTTTTTAGCGGGCCGTGTGTTGGAGGGCCCGTGGCCCGGCGGGCCGAGCCTTGGCCCGTGGACTGGCAATAACTACCACGACGTATATGATTCTAGGAATAACTAGTCTTTTGAGTCCACTTTTTCTTTTTAATTTCTATTTGTATGTTTTGCATAAGAAAATATTCTCTTGCTTGAAATGAAATTAAGTAGGACAATATTTTAAAATAAACCGTACACATTTTAAAGTGACTCCAATCTTCACTTTATAAAATAGTTTATTCATATATACTAGTGTGTAGCCCCGTGCGATGCACGGGTAAATAATATTAAATATAAATTATAAATAGGTCTCGAGTTCGAGTGGTGGGGAACCATTATCCTATTTTAAAAGAGCAAAAAAATTTTATAAATTAAATATGTGGGGTTAACATGTGATATAATTACCGTCGTATATTATTTTAATATCAGCAATATAAAATTAACTTGTATAAGAGAACATCAAGTTTGCATGTTTACAATATTAAAAATATGTAAAGTATGTAATGGTTTATATATTATTATTAAAAGATGTGAAGTCACCTACAATTTTTTTAAACTATTTTGGAAAGAAAACATGTTTAAAAAACATTTGAATTTTACATTTGTATGAACGATGTTTTCTAAACTCTGTTGTAAAGAAAACATGTTTAAAAATATTTAAATTTAATATGTATATATATATATACACGTGTATATGTATATAGATATAATATGACATGATAAAATATTATATAAAAGTATCTAAAATATCATAAGCCTAAATAAAAACATTATATTTGCAATTACACTTTAGAGCGAATGAAAAACAAAAATTTGTTACGATAATTTTTTTAAAAGATATGTTACAGTAGATACATAAGAGATGAAAAACATTATAGATATAATATGACATGAAAAATATTAGCGCCGCATTTATTCATTAAATGATTTTGACGGTGAATTTTGGCGAGAAATTATAAAAAAATTATTCTTTTTATATAATGATAGATTAGCATAGTGGGATTTTTTCCAATTATTTAACAACTTTGGTTTGTATATACTGATAAAATATTGTACAGAACTTTTTCTATCAGCATTGTAAATTAGTTTTTAAAAATTCAGAATATCACCATAATTCAGTGATGTTTAATGATGATTCAAATTATCATGATAGGTAACAAAAAAAAAAAGGTAAAACAAAAAAA